TGGTAGCTAAAACTGGAGGCCTCTCACTGCTCAGTCACCGCACTTTGACCCTCATCAACATTGGATTTGTTTCCCTTCACTTTGTTGTCCACTGTCAAAGGAAAATTGTACATAGTGTGATCAGCTACATGAATGTGTTTTATTGATCACTAAGCACTCCACATGTCTACGTGACTTTTCACATAAACTCTTGTGTGATAAACTTATTTAGCAACTAACAGCTTCCTCTTTCCTGAGAACGTACACGTGTAGAGAAGGGGAACCTCAGCTCTGAGTTCTTGGAATAACTTAGTTACCTTTGTACACACACAAGCGTGTATAAATAAAGAACGCAGACAGTGACAGAGCGCCAGTCCGTGAGTGCCTCCTGCGAGGACGAGCGCTCTGGGACCGCCCTCGCGAGTAAAGACGACTGCAGTGTTTGTGTTTTCTAACTCAGGTGTCTCAGCTGAAGAACTGTTGGGCGATTCTTAGAAATCCCCTGTCGTCCACTAAACATTAAAATAGCTCCATAAAATATATTAATTAATTAATAGTATTAAATATATCAATTATATGTTTGCATATAATTGAGTGACAGCTAAGCCAGAGTTTAATCAAAGATTTGTATCAGTGATGCTAAAAGAAAAACCCAGACTGTGTGTGACAATGCAGCTGGGACACAAAGCAGCCAAGAAACCTGTGCAAGTGTTTCTGATGGTTACCACGAGTGCCCCCACCAACCCCACTGACCCCTGCATCAACATTTAAGCTAGCATGCTTTGAGTTTGCTGCTGCAAAGCTGATTGAAACCAAACCTGTTGCCTTCAGCTTTTTAATACATGTTGGTGGTTAAAGGCAGGCGGGCAGCGTGAACAGTTTGTGGATGCCATAACTCCATAGGAGCTTCAAACTGATACCATAGGTCTATCTATAAAAGTCTGAATCTTAGCAGACCTAAAGGTTAAAGGTCAGAGGTTCTGAAATCCTTGTGAATCGATAGCTCGAGAACAAGGCCATCTAGGAGCTTCAAATGACAAGAACCTGGCCTCAGAATGGGCCATTGGCCCCTCCCACCACCACCACAGAAATATACTGATTCCTTCTTTTCTTTTTTACCACCAGCAGCCTTAAATACATGCTGATCTTTTGTCAAATGCAGTTACCAATGTAAGTTTAAAAATTCATATCTGTTGCATGGCCTAACTAACACCAAATGTTAGTTTTGTTTTTTAAATGGTTAGTGTTCAGAATAAATTGTGTGCACCCCCCCACTCTCATTGGTCCTCTAGTCACATGACTAAGTAAGTTGTACCTTGAAGTACCAGAGTAAATACTTCATGAACCTTTCTTTCCTCATGTTTCAGAAGGGTTTAACATGCCATGACGTTGCCCTAATTTGTAGTATAAACTGATATGTTTCCACCCTGTTACTGTCCAAAGGTGGACACACAGTAGCAGCCACATTTGTCACTGATGTGATGATGTCATTGATCCAAAGCATGCATCTCTCAGTGCATTTGTATAATATCCATATTTCATTACGTAAGAAGTCACTTAGATGAGTGATTACACATTTACTATTAAAGCTGCAGACAGATGAATCCTTTCTGGAACCTTCCAGTCTCTCAGCTTTTTGTCACAACACGTTATTTGCAGGTTGACTTTCCAGCTGTTTACTTACATTCAGACAACTATTTGTATTGCAAATATTCTACAATTGCATGTTTACGTATGCAAATGTAGCATTAGCCTATTAACTTTGTGCTAATTTGCTTAAATATTTAGAAACATCTGGATTTTTTAAAATGTTATTCTATAAATTAATGAAAAAAATGGTTATTAAATGTCATATGAAGAGGAATAAAGCTGCAGTTTGGTTCATGTAAGAATCACTGAGGGGACGATTCCACAGGAAAGTTGTGGGCAGAGGTTTTCATCGTGGACATGAATGTCATAGAAACTTTTAATGATTGCTT